AGCCCTTGACTGGAATAGCCGGGGGCTGCGGGTCGGGACTGAGGGGCCCCTGTGTGGACGGAGGGAGCCTTAAACTGGACTAGCAGGCCGGGGGGCTACAGGAATCCAATGAATTGGCAGAACTGGGGGGAAGGAGCTTCCCAGGTTCAGCAATGGCCCAATACATGAAGGGTCGGGATTTTCCTTCCTCTGAAACATCAGGGGTCATCGCTGATGGGGACCGGGCCATTGAACCGACCCACCAGCGCTGCATACAGCTCGCTCGGGGGCACCGTGCTGGACTTGGTAGCCCAGTGGTTTGATCTGGTAGGGTAGGAGATGGCAGACGTGGCTGGGCCAATGGTGGGGCCAAGGAGGCAGGGCCCTGGGATGAGACTCTCACACACCCAGATCCAGGGAGGGCTGCGATGAGATTGCTCCCCTCCATATCCCCCCTACATTTAGCAAACTCCTCAAGACCCTTCTGCACATGCTAATAAACTTCTCTTACTTACTTAGTAGGCAAGTGGTTTTCTGCCTTTAAATAAGCGTGGAAGTGAGAGCTCCCTACAAATGATGAACGAGGCCTGGAATGGTTTACCCAACTGATGTATGAGTGGGGCTGCCAACAGATCTATAATTCATTCGCAGCCCAGAATTTATTTGCTGTAATTACATCTTTAATTAGGATTTTAATGGCTCATTGTTCACAAACAATGATGAATCGGATTTAAAATATATATATATTTATTCCGGGCGAGCTGTGAGTAACGGTCCATCAGGGGCCGCTTCTCCCCATATGAAATTTTTTTGCATTAAGTATCTTTATTAAAGAGGCGCATATGTCTGCTTTCCTACTCTGGGAGGTCCTGGTCAAACCATCATGGTTAATATCATAACTGTACATATTGCAACAAACCCAAAGTCCCCTAGCTACTCAGAGCATCAGGGCAACCCTGGGTATAGAACTCGGCCTCTCATGCTCCAAAAGCACAGACCCCAACACTTGAGCAAAAGGAGAATCTCCCTCAATTATCAGTATTGGGCTGATGACACACAGTGGAACAGTTATGAGTTCACCCACTAGATGGCAGTGGTGCATAAAGCCCCATCTTTTCTCTATGGTATTTTTAAATTCTTTTGAAATATTGTTTGAATTAATCTCTTGTGGTATCTAGATGTCTCAAATTGTTTTCCCCACGGGGTTGGATACACGGTCAGTAATAGGATGCAGTCTTTCACCTTTAAGTAGCCAGTTCAAATCCAGCCACAGGTCAGCAGGGCCTAGCCGCCCTCCCCTGGAATGAACAAGTGGTCTCAGTCCAGTTCTTGGTGGACAAATTGGGCCAATGAAAAATTTCCCATCAAAACTGTTTTTCAACAGCAATTCATAGAGCTGATCAGAAATTAGTATTTTCGTCCCACGGGAAATTCCAATCTCTGATAACATTTGTTTTTGTCCTGAATTGGGCTAAAAAGTTGGAATGGTTCTGAACCATTCCAAAATGTTGTATTTGAAAACACCGAAAACATCTAATCAAAATGTTTCACTTCAATAATGTTGAAATGTAATATAACATACACATCTATATAGGTAAGTCTAAACAAAATGAAACAAAAGTTGGAATGAAACAGAGTTGAAAGGACACATTCCTTTGGATTTTGACTAGTTTCTAAACTTTTTCAACAACAAACTGATCCATCAAAAAGAAAATTTCTACCAGTTCTAAAAATTGCATTTTCTACAACAAAACTTCATGAAAAGCGTCTGCTTGCTGCACAAAACTTATATTTTCCATCAGCAAATGGAAAACCTGATACCCAAACTATTTCAGCTGTGAAATCCTGCCCAGGTGTCTCATGGGAGTTACAGTTCAGTTGCCCCATGTCCACTTTCTCCTCTATGGGCTCAACTCCTCAGCTGGACTACATCTCCCATGGTGCACTATGGCCAGGGACTCCCAAGATGCATCACCTGCCCTCCAAAAGGTGAGACCATGGTGCATTATGGGAGATGGAGTCCGACAAGGGAACCTGGCTTATAGAGGAGAATGGGCGCATGAGAGACCTGTACTACAACTCCCATAAGGCAACGCGATGGAATTTGCAAATTGAATTATTTCCGTTTTCGAATTTGGCCAAAAATCAAAATTTTAAGTGGAAAATTTTGATAAAAAGGATTTTTTGTTTTCGTCAAATTTTTCTGCAGAAGAACAAACCGGTTGTGACCGGTTCTCTGGACCAGCACCCCCCCAACCCAATCAGCCTCCTCATTAGCAGCCTCAGCAGAGAGGCCCAGCCCCGGGGTTGAGGTGCGGTGCATTGGTGGGGGTTGGGGAAGCTTGCCCTGCAGCAGCCCAGGCTGTACCTGCTCTTTCGCTGGAGCCCGTTAATCTCCAGGGCACCTTTGCCAGGGACCGGCCTGGCGCTGGCTGGCAGGAAGGGGCAACGGCTGTGTGATGCCTGAGACGTGTCTGGTTCTGGGAGGGCCAGGCCCTGGGGGCAGGGAGGACTAGAACGGGTCCCGATCCTGAGATCACTCATACACCTTTCAGTCCGGAGTCACTCCTGGTTCACGCCCCAGACCCCGGGTTTCCCTTTGGCCTTTTCCTGGGAGGCTCCAGGCTGGCACCTGGCTACGGAGGCTCTTCACCCTCTCCCTCCACCGGATGCAGCCCAGCGGCGTCTGTGGGACTCGAGCCCCTTGGCACGGGGTCTCCTCATGGGCACCCGCCGCAGAGACCATTAACCCTCTAGTTGCTGGATTGCGATCCCATGCCAGCACACGAGAAGTTTAACCCCCCTCTCACCCGTCCAGCTGGTGTGCCCTTCCTGATGACTGCGGAGCTCTTCAAGCAGTCACACCGCCCCGCTGCCTACATCGTGGGGGGGTCCCTGAACTGGCTCTCCAATTTCACTGTGGGCTTCGTCTTCCCCTTCCTACAGGTAAGGACCAGCCATGGATGTGGCCTGGGGTAGCAGCCAGCAGCCCCAGTCAGGGATCAGGGTGCCAGGGTTCCCCACGCACACGAGAAGATGGTCCCTGCCCCAGAGAGCTAACAGCCCACGCATAGACGAGAGGTGGATACAGACCGATGGAGGCGCATGAGGGAATAATAGGATGAAATCAGAGGGCAGCAAGTTTTTAACAAGCCCAACGAAACACTGTCTCATGCAGCATGTTGTTAACCTGAGGAACTCACTGCAGCAGGAGATGAAGTCCATATATATCACTTCTGCCACACCCCATTGCCCCATACACTAGGCCTGTTACCCTTCACAGACGGAAACTAGGTTGGTTGGGCATGATTTTTCCTTGACTATAAAGTGCGACATTCCCCAGAATACAATCTGGACCAGTGAATAGCTGTGTCCCTTCAGTTCCCCAGCCTGGGGGGCCCTTTACACTGCTTTGCTCTGAGAGCTACTGCTCCTGGTCTGCTCACACGCAGCCTCCAGCATGTAAATCATTCCCGAGTCCCAGGTCTACTGTGTGAATGTTGTAGCCAGCCACTCATGAATTACACTGCAGAGCAGCACCAGCAAATTCCCAGTCTCAGACTTTCCCCAGAAATGTCTCTCTGGTACTGCCCAGCATCACAGAATCACAGAATATCAGGGTGGGAAGGGACCTCAGGAGGTATCTAGTCCAACCCCCTGCTCAAAGCAGGACCAACCCCAACTAAATCATCCCAGCCAGGGCTTTGTCAAGCCTGACCTTAAAAACCTCTAAGGATGGAGATTCCACCACCTCCCTAGGTAACCCATTCCAGTGCTTCACCACCCTCCTAGTGAAAAAGTTTTTCCTAATATCCAACCTAGACCTCCCCCACTGCAACTTGAGACCATTGCTCCTTCTTCTGTCATCTACCACCACTGAGAACAGCCGAGGTCCATTCTCTTTGGAACCCCCTTCAGGTAGTTGAAGGCTGCTATCAAATCCTCTTCTGCAGACTAAACAAGCCCAGTTCCCTCAGCCTCTCCTCATAAATCATGTGCCCCAGCCCCCTAATCATTTCCGTTGCCCTCCCCTGGACTCTCTCCAATTTGTCCACATCCCTTCTGTAGTGGGGGGCCCAAAACTGGACGCAATACTCCAGGTGTGGCCTCACCAGTGCTGAATAGAGGGGAATAATCACGTCCCTTGATCTGCTGGCAATGCTCCTACTAATACAGCCCAATATGCTGTTAGCCTTCTTGGCAACAAGGGCACACTGCGGACTCATATCCTCCTGCACAATACAAGCTCAAAGAAAGTCTGTCATTTATTAATAGAAAATCACACGCACCATTCTTGCTACCTCAAATAGAGTTTCCCAAACACTGCTATTCAGACACGTTGGTTTAGAGAAAACAGTAAAACAAATGTATTAACTGCAGAAAGCTGGATTCTAAGCGATCACAAGTAATGAGGCATAAAAGTCAGAATTGGTATTAAGAAAATAAAAGTAAAATGCAGCTAATGCCAAACTTAACAAAACTAAATGAATTCAAAGCAAAGGTCACGCTCACATGTCTCATCAGTCCTACTGACGGAACTCCTTCCAGACAGGATGTCTCCCCCAGTCCAATGCTGCTTTCTTCTTCTTCAGCTATTGCTGATACCATGGGTAGAGAGAAAGGTAGAGGCAACTTAGTACACTTCTACTCCTTTCTTATAGATCCTTCTCTTCTTTGGGAGTCATCTCCAGCCGAGATTCAGGAGACAGAAAATCTGTCTGGATGGGAATGGCAAGCTGTTCCTTTGTCAAGATGTAGATTTGTTTTCACCCACACCCTCTTTCCTGCCAACGAATGGCCATTTAACCAGGTGATGGCCCATTTAATCTTGTGGACACCTGGCTGAGGCATCGGCCAGCCTTTTGTGTCTGAGGAACTGGTTTGTGGCTGTTCGCCAGACTTAGAGCATGTCTTAGCAATACCATACGGTAGAATCTTATAACTATACATACATGTTGCCACACACATTTTACCAGAACAATAATGATCAGCAAATTATGAGTTTTCAAATGATACCTTGCAGGCCATACTTTGTACAAGATTTATCACAGGGGTGCAGACGGTCACAAAGTCCGTGCTGGCAATTCCTTATAACCCTGCTATGCTCCAGGGGCTTAACATTGATGGTTTAATAATTTGTTCAGTATCGTTCTAGGTCTTGAAGTTAGGCTGACTGATCTATAATTGCCCGGGTCCTTTGTGTTCCTCCTTTTGAAGATAGGTTCTATGTTTGCCTTTCTTCAGTCCCCTGGGACTTCCCCCGCCCTTCCTCAGTTCTCTCAAAAATAGCAGCTAATGGGGCAAAGATTGCTTCAGCTAGCTCCTTAAGTACCCTGAGGTGAATGTCATCCGGCCCTGCTGACTTGAATACCTCTAACTTAGCTAAATACTCTCTAACCTGTTCCTTCCCAGTTCTGGCCTGAGGGCCTTCCCGTGTTGTTAATAATAATTGTGTTAAGCAGCTGGTCACCATTAATCTTCTGAGTGAAGAAAAATATCCTCTGGGGGAGTGGTCTCATGCTACGGGATCCCTCAGAGGGGCAGGATTAAACCACTGGTCAGGGACATCATGGGGGAGGCTCCACCTTCCTCTCTAGGAGGTTTGCCCTACCTGGCCCTCATCACCTTGGGGCAATGGCCTCCCCCCCCCAGGAATGGATTTCTCCTGGCAGCCAGTCCAGCGGGTCGGTGTCCGTGCCCCATTGCGCACATGGGGAATGGAGGTACAGAGAGGCGAAGTGACTAGCCCATGGTCACGCATAGAGTCTGTGGTGCAGCAGGGCCTTGAACCCTGGTCTCCTGAGTCCTGGCCCAGCATCGTATCCACAAGCCCAGCCTCCCCCTGGAATGGGAAGGCACCAGTCCCTGCTGAAGGGGTGGTGCCCGCGGCTCAGTGGGGCAGTGGTATAGCCCAGTGGGGTGGGATGCAGGGAACATGGCTAAGGGCGCGAGTGCGCTGGGCCACTCCGAGGTGGGATGGGTGCTAGGTGGCCCCGGGGCCGGTGCGGCTGTGACAGGAGGCCAGAGCCATGCTCGGTGGCCCCGTGGCCGGCTGGGAATCCCCGCTAAGCCCCCAGGCCGCGTTCTCTCGTTGCCCCAGATGTCAGCCGGTGCCTTCTGCTACCTGGTGTTCTGCGGGGTCTGCGTGCTGGTGGCGCTCTACGTCTACCTCGTCATCCCCGAGACCAAGAACAAAACGTTCGTGGAGATCAGCCAGATCTTCGCCACCCGCCGCCCCTTCCTCGCTGCCCCGGCCGGCGCCGTGAAGATGGTCCCGCTTGGCGGTTACGGGGCCTTGGAGAACAGCTCCCTGGAGCTCTCGGGGTCCAGCCGGGCGTGACCCACCCCAGCAGCCGCTGGACTACTGCCTCTTCGCCCTGTTGTGGCACCCCAGCCCTGGCGGGTCAGGCCGGGAGTGGGGCTGGGCTCAGATGGGGGTGGGGGGCAGTCGCTGGGGCTGCGGATTAATTCCCTTCCTTTAACCTCTTCCCGCCTGGCGTCTGGCTCGGTCCCGCGGCCTAGAAAGGCCATGAGCGGTGGGAGGCATCACAGGTGTGAGGGTCGCTGGGCCAAGGCCGGCACCTCATGCCCAGGCTCTGTCTCTCCCCATCCCACCAGTTGCTTTCTCCTCCAGGAGTCCCAGGGCAGCCTTTCCAGGTTGCTGCTCTCCAGCTCTGCAGGGCATTGGGCCTGGATCACCCTGCACCTTCCCTGCATGGCGGAGGCGGTGCCAGCCTGGGGCGAAGAGCCAGTGGGCTCAGCTGCTGCCCGCTGTCCCCATGGTCAGGGGAGAACCCCTGCTCCCCCCGGGGCCATGGCTGGGAGCCGAGTCGGGGCTCATGCCTGGTCTCCAGGCTGGGCGTGAGATTCTTTCCTCTCCCCACCAGGAGCCCTCGGGGTTTGCCCCTTAGCACCGTGAGCCAGCGCCTCTGGAAGCAGTGACATCACAGCGGTTGGCAGGTGCTGATTGGCTGATGGTGTCATTCCTGGAAGGACCGCCCTTGAAGAGGCGGGGCTTCTTGGAAGGCCCTGGGGCGGAGGGAGGCGGCTCCTGCCCAGGTTTGGGTATGACGCCCAGGGGGAGGGAGGTCGGGGGGTATTTAATAAAGGAAATTGCCTGTTCAGGCTGCAGTCGTGTGTGGTGCTGGGGGCAGGTCATTCCCTGTTCCTGATTTGGGCCCCAGAGCGGTTGTCTCATTAAACACTGAGATACATCAGCAGATCTATGGAGGGGGGCAGGGCTGCGGGTCGGGACTGAGGGGCACCGGCAGTGCTGGGAGGTGGGGGGGAGGAGGCCAGGGCTGGGATAGCAGATGGGGACCGCTGTCTTAAAGCATATACTGGCATAGCTATGTGGGTCAGAGGTGTGAAAAACACATGTCCTGCTGGTGACAGCCCCGGCGTAGAAGCAGCTATGCCAACAGAAGAGCCCTTCCATCAGCCAAGCTAACGTAGTTCGGGGAGGTGCAGTTCCTACACCACTAGAAAACCCCCTTCTGTCGGCGTACGCTGTGTCTGCACAAGGACTTACGCCATCAGAGGCACTGTAGTGCAGACACAGCCTAAAGTTTTAAAAACAGGACGTTGCTCACGAGCTGGGAGCTTTGTAATTGTCCAGTGAATCTGTGGTGCAAACAATTGGAAATCTTTGCACAAGTAGTCACTTTCCATGTGCGTTCAAATCCGATCACCTGCTCCACTGTGCGAGAGTAGGTCACAGAGCGCACTGAGAAGTGAATCGGTGGGTTTGACTAGCTAGAATATTTGCACGTACTTGGTTCTGCGTGTGCTCAGCTCTAGGAGTGAATCCTCGTGCGCTCCAGCTGGCAGGAGCACCACACCATCCCGGGATCGGAGTCTGCCCAGCACCAGCGTGTGTGGCACAGCGACACCTACTGGCCAGTGCTTTCTCACACTGTTGTTATTGCACGGGATGTGAATGCTGGGGTCCCAAGGGCCCGGAATCAGCCCTCAGTCACACTGGTGTGAATCCAGAATAACTCCATTAACATCAAGAGTGACTTGGGATTGATGCTGGTGTCATGGGGATCAGGATCAGGCTGATGGGCAGCAGAAGAGGTGTGCTGGGATCTGTTGATTAGTGTAGACGGTTGCATCTTGCTCCCGCATCCCATGTGGCGACTCTCCCGTCGCGACCCGTGTCAGAAGTCAGGTCAGGAGCCCTTGCCACTGATTTCCCTGCAGCTCAAAGCATGCCAGCTTCCGTCTGTAAACGCCCTCAGTCAAAGAGGGGGCGTGCAGGGGAAGGGGGGGCAAACCAGAGCCGTACCAGCGGCGGCTCCCTCCGCCTCAGCTCCGCTCCACCGCAGACCAGAGCGGTAAATATGTGCAGCATTACATATGTATAATGGAGTGTAAATAACCCAAAAAAGTGCATTGTAAATAGACTCCAAGTTTATCCTTTATTAATGAGGCACCGAGTGCCCTGCTGTTTTAGAGCAGCGAGACTTTCATAATATCAAAACCTAAATTACACTTGCGTCTCTCATTCCCGGCAAACGACAGTATCATTTCAGGCCTCTTTGCCGCTTGTATTTATTTATTCTTTTATTTATTTTTGCCGGCGCGTGTCTGACGCGCTGCAGTTTAGGGCAACGGCGGGGCCTCTGCAGGCTGGAATTAACCCCCTGGGAAGGCCTGTCTCACACCGTCCCGGGCAAGGGGTGGTAGATGCAAGCTAGCTGCCGTCTATGTGCCTGGTCTATGTTTTCCCAGCTCAGTAGCATAAGTCCTGCTGTAGATGGGAGATCCTTGCGGTGGTGACTCAGCGGAGAGGGTGCCATGGGGAGCTACTGCAGTGTTGGCTCTCGGATGAGACGGAAAGTCACTTCGGGTCATGAAAAATCCCAGGGTGCTTCTTGTATGACTCAAAGCAAAGTAGCTGCAAAAAAGGCTCAGGATTTTTGGGGCCAAGCTTGTGATTTTGAGGGGTTTGGCTCAGGATTTTTGAGATTTCAGGGCTGGTGATGCCAGGGGGGGACGAGCAATGGTTCTACAATCTGGCTCTTTCTCCTCCCTCGCCAAGCCCTGAGCTGTCCCTGCCCTGCAAGGGGCTAGGACCTGCTCTTCTGGGGACTTCTTTCCCCAGTGGTGCTCAGGATCTGCATCCACTCCAAACCCTGCCTCTTGAGAGGAAAACTGGTTAGAGGGGTGACCCACGGAGTTTCCCGGTTTCCCCTTCCCCTGGGTGCAATGGCGGATTGGACTGGAGAATTGGTCCCTCTTTGCCAGGAGAGTCCCTGGCAAGCTCAGAAGCAGGCCTGGCAGGGATGCACCTGACAATGAGGCTCGGAGTCGTGCAGAACGCGGGCAAGGCTTTGTCAAGTGACTCCTGACGCTAGGCCCTGATTCCCAGAAGATGCCGAGCCTTTGCCCTGCGAAAATCAGGCCCCTTGAGGGGTCTTAAGTTGAGCCTCCCCCAAATCACTACTCGTGTTGGAAAACCTTGACATCTTCACACACAAGCAGGGCACCGCACGCCGTTAAAACATCATCGGGGGCGAGCGACTCATTCAGCCGCCATGCCGGAGCAGAAGACCAGGGTACAGGGCCCATGGAATGGCATCTGGTACCCGCTCTCACCTGTAAAGGCCTGGGAATCCACCGGGCAGGCTGTTTACACAGACCGGGTGAGCCACTTCTCCAGCATTTAGGGTCAATGAAACACACCATGTTGAGTCTGCTTTCTGGCTGAGGAGCAGCGGAAGAGGAGGAGGAACTGGAGTGCTCTGAGAAGTGAGGAAATGGTAGACAAATTATTTCCAACTAGTCATTGAACTGAAAAGTGAATCGGATTCAGTTGCTGTTTGCTTCTCATGAGCATTCAGCCTCTTGGGTATCACAAACAAACCGCCGATTTCAAGCTCCAATGATCAAGTATTCATCAGATGCTAATTTCCCATTGCACAATCAACTGTAAAATGTGCAGTCACTATTTTGCAATTCACCTTGTGATGACTTCTCATATAAACTATCCAATCAGGGAACAGAAATCACGCCCCGTGATGCATTTAACTAACCAAACATAGTGCAGATGACAGCTATGCACAATCCAACTCCAGGCTGAACATTTTTCACGGCATCATTTTGATCGGGAATCTATCTGAGACGCATGTCGACAATTAGAAGAAAATGCGACATTTTCTTTAGAGCTGGAAACTGGAATCCTGTGTCCAGTTCTGGTGTCCGCAACGTTAGAAGGATGTTGGAGACAGTGCAGAGAAGAGCCACAGAAATTATTTGAAGGCTAGAAGAATTCCTTACAGGGGAGACTTAAAGAGTTCAATCTTTTTATCAGAAAGAAGATCAAGAGGTGACTTGGTTACAGTGTATAAGTATCTTGATGAGGTGAAAATACCAGGTACTAAAGGATTCTTTAACTTAGTGGTGAAAGATAGAACATGAACCAACAGCCGGAAGTTAAAGCAAGATTAATTCAACTTGGAAATAAGGCAGAAATGTTGAATAGTGAGGATAAGTCCCAAGGGAAGGGGTGGATTGGATGCCTCTCTGGAAGATTTGCTTTGGTCATGATGAAATTCTCTGGCTAGTGCTACACAGGCAGTCAGACGAGGTCACCGTGTGGTCCCTTCTGGCCTTTACATCGATTAATCATATGTCAAATAACTTAATGTTCTGCACCATTCAGTGCGACGTGTCGCCAGTCCAGGTATGAGATACGCATCTCGGTATTCGCATGCTGGCTATGGAAACGTCGCAGGTGGGACGGCTGATGTATGTATGTCTTCTCATTACGGGAACGTCTCTGTTCTAAGTGGGCATCTCACGCCCAGTGCTCCAAGGGGGGTCGGTTGTTTAATGCAGAGTGACTAAGATGTCTTGGTTAGAGCCTCTGCTCGTTGACTTCAATGGAATTAAGCCTGTTGATGCCCGCTGAGTTATCCGGTCCTGTGCGAGAATGGCCCAGGCTGACCAGCATGTAAATTCCTCTTCTTTATACATATTTCCATCTACCCTATTATCTGTCCCTGAACTATGACACCAGCTTTGGGGTCAATTCCGTACACAATACTAAAGAGCACAGCCTCTGCTGTGTGTATGTACAGGCCAGGATACTGCACAATATGCCAGAGCACCAAGAACTTGGGGGGTGACTTTCTGATGCTCCTGTTGAATTCAAGAGGAGCAGGGGGTGCGGAGCACCCTTGAAAATCAGGAGGTGCATAGAAGCAGGCACCGGAAAAAAATTATTCCATCCACCTTGGTAGCCAGTGCAAGATTGTTCCCTGCTGTCTGTCTTGCTTTAAAATTCCCATGTCCTGAGGTTTCCACTGATATAGTTTACACATGAGAATTGTT